TGGATCGTGTCATAATAAAGTGAAAAGCCCACAGGTACAATAATAATGACGAGAATTCAAGAAACAAAATGAAAAAAAATTATTTCATGAAAATTGTATTCGTTATTCCATTTAAGTGTCTTTTAAATTCAGTTCTCGTATTGTTTCACAGTTAACCCTTTTAAATCTAACGGTTGCTATGTGTACCACCTGCTGTAATTAAATTGAATTCATGGAACAAAATCCATCTTGAGTGTCTCATTCGTCCATTTTCTGTTGTTTAATTTATTCCAAAGAATCCGTAAAGTCCGAGGCCCTGTGTAACATTTTGGAACATTACAATAATTTTATTCACCGTCTTTACACAAGCTTATAGATTGTTAAAATCACATAAAATTATAACATTTCAACATTTGATATTGTTACATTTTAAAATGACGACATGTTTCGATGTTCATTCCATCATCGTCAGGTCTATCAATCAAAATTAAAAACTGTTGCATCTGCTGCTCTGCGTATACTGATTTTGTTCTACCCGTTAGATTTTATTTGTTTAACCTCCAGGCTTCTTCCATTTAATTTTGAGGGCTGCGCCTGGATGCCTTAAATCTGCAAAATCAATTTTAATTTTCATATCCTGATCCTGGCTACTGACATAGGAAATGGAATAATTTTAAAGAATTACTCAATATATCGTAATACAAGCAAAAGAAAAGTAATCACAAAATATTTAAAGTATTATAACATACCGGGTTGGGTGTGAGGTGCGTGTCCGATATTAATCTACCAAATACGTTTAACATAACAAATTCTTGCTAGTTGTTAGCCCCCCGCCCAATCACAAACCTGGGTGACAACCCCTTGTCGACCGTACGCGACTGCTTATCAATACATTCGAAACTTCTCTGCATATCTGGAGACCTTCTTATGCAACTGCAATCTGAGGACTCGATATGACATGGTGACATGAGACTCACTTTGACTGCTTCTTAAACGAAATAACTGAATTTTTAAGGGTGTATTTAAATAGTATTATTCTTTGGGTAGACAGTAACTATTTCCTTAAAAGTCATTAAACAATTGCTCGTAGCATATGTACCAAGTAGGAATGTGTTATCAATAATAAATCAATGACCAGTAACTCATTATAATAAGAGCTAAGAAGACAGTGGCACCTCCACACCCCCAAGTAAACGTTGAACCCACTTAGTGTACTAATGCTATATAAACAGGATAGAATTTTTTAAATATACAAATTTCTAAATTATTTGTGGTTTTAATTGAGGTTATCTTAATTTATTATTATTGAATTTGGCTATATTATGAAGAGATTCTTACGTATAAAAAGTAAGAGCTTAAGTTTGTGTGTAAAGTAGTTTTATGTTGTATTTACGTACGTAAGTGATGGTTCGATGACGGCATATAGATATCGAAACATTACACCACTTTAACTTAACACGTTAACTTTTATACTATTTGTTAAAGTTTATGATGATGCAGTCGAAAGTAAGAAAATAATAAATAGTACTTTACGTTTCGTGGAGCAGACGGCCGTTCATCTGATTGAAACATTACCGATTATTATAGATCCTGTTCGTCCATGTCCACAAGTTTTAACATTAACCTCCCATATATTCTTTGGCCTTCCAAATGCATTTTCCCTTAATGTAAATTGTACAAATTATGAAACTCCTCATTATGCATACATCTAATACGACAAATATCTGTTTAAAACACGCCACTTTGCCGTCAACTTATCATCAAAACAAAAAAGTATTAAAACAAGTTTAAATGACTGTGACAGATAAGAGTAAGAAAAAGTAAGTAATTTCACAAAAACCTCAACAAACACACACACACACACACACACATTGAACTTTATGAGATAAATATTATCCCATAAGCCCAAAGTCATTGAACAACAAATGATCGCCAACCAATCAAGTAAGCTACCAGCTAGTAGGGTTAAAAATGTCTCTCGGAGATTTTTGGTCTTAAATAGGATAATCCAAGATGTCATCACTTTTAAAAGGACTGCCTCGTTCTTCCTTTTCAAATATTCCCCAGACCTTGCACTGTCATTTCAAGTAACATGAGTTATAGGAAGCGCACCAGACACATTTCCAATTGTTAACGATAAACATCCATTTCCTTGACTGCTTATGGACATCACCATTACTGCAAGAAAGATTTCTATCCTCTTTCTCTCTCTTTGTGTCATAGAAATTCTGTAGATGAGATGACATCAATTTTCGAGGCCATGTTCTAGAAGTTGAGTGGACGATTATGTAACAAGAATATCACATTTTTCGCTGTGCCAAACGTTGAAATATTAATGTTCCCAAAATATATTCCGATTTCTGGTTCTGGGATGAAACTTTTTATCATCGTATCCTAGAATCTTAAGAAATTATTACATGGTTGTATATTTTAACTATCTCAATAGAACAACGTCCTTCTTAAGAAGCCAAAGGTCGCCCAGTTGCTGGAGAAATTCACGGAAACCGAAGGTTAATTACCTTGTTTATAAAGAATAAACAACTAGTCCCTATCACGAGCAGGATAAATTCATTCTACGTCACGTAGGTCGGACTTGGCATCTACTGAGGGTCGCTCAAAAAAGATGAGACTGCTATGGTAGCATCATAACCGCGTACTTCTATTAATTCCAAACATAAGCTTAAGATGAATTTTTCGACCCACTATATTCCCACAAGCACGCAAAAGTGTGAATTTAATCAAACACATCTTCGCTTTATTAATTCTATCTAATCTAAAACACCGGTACGCAAGTAGCTATCTTGTACGCATTTTGAAATTAAATGTTGTTCAAACTGGAAAAATTGGGGTCGCACATCGAGAACTGAGTCGTGCCCTACAAAACAGCAATGAAGGCCGCTAATTTGACATCTCTGGTCGGTATCTAATATAATTAACGATTTATTTGTGATTATTGATAAACTTCTAATTTAACCCCAA